TTTATATGTTGTTAGGACCTAAACCATTATCAAAAAACCAGATTTGCAATTTCCAAAGTGCTGTGCGAGCGACGGTATACCCAAAAAACCATGAAATTTTTGGACTTATTTCAGTTTTCGCTCAATATCTCAGAGAAGAAAGGGTTTGACCGCTATAGTCACCCCATAAACTTTTGCTACAATTCGAAGCCAAGGCGAGCTCCATACAGCTATTGGTTCCCAAGATACAGTTCTTCGAAAATTGGCATTTTTTTCGAAAAAGTAATTTCTTGAAAATGGTCACCTATTCTGTGAATTATCTTCTATAATACGCTTCCCACGTCAAATATCATGTGGAATGAAATTGTAGTAAATTTAATTAGCTTCCATTTGAGACTAGACTGGTAGCTGTAGGCCTAGCGGTTCTCTCAAAAACGGCTGATAACCAAAAACAGTATACCTTCAGAAGAGTACGAAGAGCGAAGCTGGTTGCTGCCATTTCTCTATACGAACTCCTACAACCACCAGGACTCCCAGCGATCAGCAGGGACGGTACTATTCACCCCCGCATTCACCGGGTGCGATACTACCTCAGCGCTGTTTGGCAAGGGAAGACCAAATTCACTACACTCCTGAGCAAAAGTGAACCACTTGCTGAGCACGTGAAAGTCTTTCTTGGGCCAGACTTTACCCCACAAGCCGTGAGAGAAGCAGGCATTAAATGTTTTGTGGCTCCATATGAGGGTGATATCGCGATATACTCTGGATTTCCTGAGGTATATGACGTTTGTTACTTCATCGAGCATAAACCTCGCTCGATTGCCACCAACGGAAGATGCCGCAGGCCACCATGCAACAAGGTACTACCTCCAAGTGCAGAAGTGTCGGAGAGTAAACATGAATCCTACTCATTGGGGGTGGAAGATGTCTTCTCAGGGACTTACCCTCATCTCCACCACCATGGATCCCGCACCTCTTGCTCTTCTGCGAAAGATCTCATGTAATTGCAAGAAAGGGTGCCTTGGGAGCTGTTCGTGCAGAAAGGCAGGACTCCACTGCTCTGTCCCCTGCCAGTCATGCGGTGGCAAATTGTGCACCAACGTCCCTGATGTAGAGCTGAAATGCTTGGACGATGAAGATGATCCGACTACTGATTGGGCGCCTCTCCCAGCATCCATCACAGCCATCGAGACACTAACTTCGTGCGAGCCCAAGCCCGGGCCATCAAAGATTAAAATAAAGCAATGATTCGGCTACCGGTCACAATAACTACATGTTTTATATTAGTTTTATTTGATGTTTACGTTGATGTAAATTGTCCTTATAGTAGGTACCATGATGTTTGTGCAAGCATTTTAGTATGTAGGTGTATATAAAACAACGTTTGATAATGACGTTATTCCTGAAAAATATACAGAGTGAATTTCCCTTATCGCATGTGCCCTGTACAACCGTGCTAACAGTTGTGAGGGAAGTAGCGCTGGTAAATTGCGGCGACTCCGTGCGGATTGTCAGAAAACATTTTTTAAATCGTTTTTTAAATCTTAACGATTCCTATGTTACGGTACGGCGAGTTTTTCGAAAATTGGGGACACCACTTTCTCGACAAAATCGCCAGATCTTACGCCCCTCGATTTTTTTTGTGGGGATATAGAGCATCGTCTACTCCGATCCTCCAGCCACTACGAAGAAGTTGAAAGACAACATTCGACGGTCGATTAACAACATTCCTATTGAAATAGGAATATGTGTCAGCGGCAATTTCCAACATTCACATTGGAGGAGTGCTATGAAAAAGATGGACGACATTTGGACAACATTGTGTTCAAGAAGTGGAATCCGCAACCCTGTAAAGTCCGACCACGATAACTTTGGGACAGCACGTGGTCGCGTATGCATTGAATATGCATATGCGTTGCGTCACATGCTGTCCCAAAGTTAACGTGGTCGGACTCTACTTTCAAAATCGATGATTAATATTATCGCAATACTTTTGATTTTGTTTTCATACCATATTGAAAAAGTCACCCTGTATCATCTTTTCCATTTTTCATCAAACAATTCTTCAATAATAACAAAAATAAATGAATTGTAACTGTTCGATAAATAGAAAATAAAATGACGTGAGAACAGTTCATTCGCATTATTCCCTAAAACCCACTTATGACTTTTCTTGGATATCTGCCGTTTTCGAGAGAACCGCTGGGCTTACAGATCTTTACCAATCTGGTCGCAAAACAGATCTTATTGAATTGGCTCCCACTTCATTACATATGATATTCCACGTGGGAAGCGTATTATAGGAGATAACTCACAGAATATGTGACCATTTTGAAGAAATTTCACTTTTTCGAAAAAATTGACTATTTTCAAAGAACTGTAACTTGAGAACCAAGAGATGTATGAGGCTCATCTTGGCCTCAAATTGTAGCAAATTTAGTTCAATTCAAAAGCATAAATGGTGACTATACCGGTGAATCTCTTCTCCAAGATATTGAGCGAAAACTGAAAAAAGTCCGAAAATTTCATTGTTTTTTGGGTATACCGCCGTTCGCACAGCAGTTTGGAAATTGCAAATCTGGTTTTACAATATTGGTTCAGGTCCTAACAACATATAAAGAATTCAGAACGACCGGACCTTTTGCAAGCACGACCCCCTTCTCATGTTTAACTTTACTGAACTATGATGGGTATTCCTCCTACTGAATATGCCACTTGTAGAGAATGATGATTCATCTGTCCAAATAATGTTTCTTAAGAATGTTTCTATTGATCATTTCTTCACAGAATAATCTTCTGTTTCTTAAATCATCCGCATTCAAATCTTGCACAGGAAGCACATGATATGGTTTATATCCATTTCTTCGCATAACTGCTTGGAAAATGTTTATTTGTCTAGCTACTGTCACCGTAGAGCGGCGAGATTCTTCTATAAATTTAAATAAAACTTTCAACTCACGCTCTTCTGTTAAAACGATCCTACTTTTTCTTCTTTTAGTATTATTCAATGAATTACTTGCGATGATTCTGGTATAAATTTGTTTGGAAGTGATTTTTGAAGGAGGCGTTTCATTCGGAAATCTTCTAATGTGTTCTCGTCAAGCTTCTGTCATATTTTTATGACTGGATAAATAAATTTCCAAGATAATCCTCCTTTTCTCAATAGAATGATGCATTACAATTATGCTAAAGGACAAATCGTAATTATCTTCAACTAAACGTCAATGTGACCCAACTATAATTTTATTTGTTTTCACAGCCTGCTTCAGATTATTCAATAAAATTAGGTAGAATGTAACGTGACATCTCTCTTTCTTCACAAACGATAAGATTTCCACACATGTCGTATGTTTGAGAATTTCGTGGAAATCTTATTGTTTGTGAAGTTTTTACATTTGCCATGGATTTCCATCAAGTAACGGCCGAGTCAATTCAAAAAATCTCTCTTTCTTTCCAGTAATACCACAAACACTATTGAACCAATCATAAGATATGCATATATATTTGAAATCAGGATAATTCAAGGAATTTTAATGGGGGGTAAAACTGGCCCTGTACATATATACCAAGTACTTATATACTATAACTATGAAACAGTGGCGTGTCGTGAGTTTCCTAGCTGAAGGAGATGGGAGCTACAATCATGAGTCTTGATTGCAACAAATATGCTTTTGCACATGTTGCACACACAATTTTTTAAAGATCATATCATAAGCAAAGGGTTGAAAAATATTGAAGTCTAGGGTTTTAATTATGTTTATCGGAGTTTACTACTATCAGGAATGGCTTTGGAAAGTCAGGATTCAATGAATTACTCTCAGGTTTTCGGGTTTCGAGCTTTCGAACAAGTGAAATTCAACTAGAATCAGTCTCAGGTACTTAGATATCAATCAGAAGCAGTCTAGTAATGAAGCTGGCTCAAAGACACTTCATTACTGTGTCTTAAGCTCAATTTCCCATTTTTTTAATCTTCGAAGTAGTTTATACAGGGTGTATCTAGTTACACCAGTTACACCAACACATTTTGTGGGGTGATCTTGTGATTGAAATGAAGGTGGGTATTTGTTTTTGTTTTTTGGAGAATAAAGGTTTTCTTTTTTATTTTCCCTGAGACACAAAACGAGGTAAATATTATTTGACAATAAAACTACATTTTGAAATGTTTTCAACCCTGGAGTATGCTACGTTTTTCATCAAAAAAACTGATGGCTCAGCCGCAAATTTTGATGATTATTATTCAATGTAAACGATACAAAAATATTGGTATACATATTTAATTTTCATTTCTTGATTATTTTATTTGTTTGCAACTTTGCAACTCACCTGTAAGGAGCGTTGTGTCGAATTAATTTAGGTACCTTATCTTTTCCTGGTTGAAAATTTGTAAAATTAATTCTTGAAATAATAAATAAAAATCAGCTAGCTGTAGGCCTGGGAAAAACCCATTAGCTGATGTATTTGAATAGGCGAGCGACGCTCACCCGACCATTTCGCGCGACACTTTCACTGCGTCAGCTGACAATCTTTCCACCGACATACAGCCAGCCGACTTCTTTTCTTATTTTTTGCAACATGTTAAATATCATCTGCTAAAGTTTCAAGCGGGAGGAAATCACTGAAAATAGTTTTTTCACGTTTGTTTGAGCAGCTGACGTATAATCCACCGTGTTATGTCCAGCTGACGTTTCGAACAATTGAAATGCCAACTGTAATCTCACAAATTTTTAACCAGGAGGAAATTATTGAAAACTCATTTTTTTTCACGTGCGTGTGCGGCCATTATCACCCAACCCAGCCAAGGTCGCGCAGCTGACGATTCTTTGGTTTGAAGACAAAACTATCCCAATCATCCCACAAATTATCAGCCGAGAGGATATTGGTCGAAGAATCTGCTAATGGCTCCCTCACTATAATTATTATTTCTCAATTTTAAATTGAGCATACTGGTTCACCATAGAGTGGTATTAGCTGATTGGGGATGTTCATTTTATTAACATTTGTTTTTTGCATCACTGATATAGGTTTATGAAGAAACCTCTGGTGTAACTGTTGGAGACCCCGTACTGAGAACTGGCAAACCCCTTTCTGTTGAACTTGGACCAGGTATTATGGGTTCCATCTTTGATGGTATCCAGCGTCCTTTGAAGGATATTTGCGACTTGACAGAAAGCATATACATTCCTAAGGGTGTGAATGTTCCAGCTCTCTCCAGAACAATTCAGTGGGATTTCAATCCAGTCAACATCAAGGTAAAATAATTATGAGTAAATAGTTTTAGGATGGTGGGCCTGTTTCACCTTAACTAGTTCACCGTCGCAAACCATTTTTTCCTCAGAGCTCTGTACATTTTCTAAATCAATATTGAAAATCACGATATTTCATGACATGAAAACTTAATCACTTGATCATCACTCTTGAACAAGTCAATGCCACCATATAAGATTCGACTTACCCATACATTCTCTATTTCTGTATTATTCTTATTACCATTTCTATCAGAATATGAAATACATTTTCTGGACAAAATACTCACTGCAGATAACAGAGAACACAACAAATAACTGAAGAATCAAATTATTTGAGGATGATATTTGTAATTTTGCAGTATTTGTTAGACAACTTGACAATAGAATTTGGCGTTATAAAGTTAAATTAGACTTTTTTTTCTCGATATTTTTATGAAGTGAACGCATTACGCAGTTGCTATGGTGACAAACTAGTTTGGGTTTAAATGAAATCTCGATCATTATTAGGAATGATAGGATATTCTCATTGGCAGTGAAGCATCTTGCAATTCAATTAGTGATTATTAAAGACCCGGTAGAACTATTGTGTTCTGTGAATGTAAATACCATGGTAAATACTGTAGTCATTGGTCATATTGAATCTCATAAGGTAGTTACTAGTTAAACATTTGGCAGCTTCAAAATATATGGTTATGAGATGCAAGTGCAAAAATTCAGATGAGAAATTCAGATAACCATGACTTTCGGAAGGTTTATGATGTCATCTAGAGCTGGCGTCTTTCAAAGGTGCCGATTCTTATTATTGAAAAAATATATTAAACAATGAAATATTGCATCAAATAGTATTTATACACGGAATGAACAATATAATATAGTTATATATGGCGTAAACTTGACTAGTTTGTACAGCGTGGTTGGAATTCGAGCCTAATCATTAGTATGAGATACAAGGTCGGTTGTGGCAAAGTTGCGCAATTATATGCCTAACAAAATGCCGTTTTGAAATTTGAAAAAATCCGGTTTTTGGAGAAAAACGAACTTTCGCGAGTTAATTCTTATTTTTTTTTACGAATATTTGAATAGATGCAACAAAACAAATTACAAACTCTCATTGCTACTTTCTCTGTTTTATAAGGTGGTGATATCAGATTTTCAAACCGTCGTCTCGTCTTTGAGCTGAATTGATTCCAGATAATCAAAAGCTCTCAAAATCCCTGATAAAAAATCCAGAGTCGTATTTAAAAGAACAAAGTTCATTATGGCAGCTCAAAAACAAAACGTCGGTTTGAAAATCTGATAACACCATCTTGTAGAACAGAAAAAGTAGCAATCAGAATGTGGAATTTGTTTTGTCACATATTTTCAAGTAGTTATGAAAAAATAAAAATTAAATCATGAATATTTTTTTTCCAAAAAACTTTGAACGTATTCGGAATTTTTCAAATTTCAAAACGGAATTTTATTACACATGCAATTTCGCCATGATTCTACCAGGGTCAATAAACTATAATAAAATAATGATAAACTAATATCAATTCAATATAATTTTTCGAGTTGTTGATCGATAAGTTCATGTGGGTTCTGCAAATTAAAAAATCCATTCTTTCCTAAAAGACTTCTATCTTCTCTTGAGAAGAAGATATTGACGTTAATCGAATTATGTTAAGAAGAGATCACCCTTCAATACAAATCATGATGAAGCTAAGTTTAATCACTCACTTTCGCCAAAGGGCGTTAAGAAGTTGAGCATGAAATAGTAACTTTTGCTTCAGCCTGTATAATGATCAACCCATCAGCATTTCTTGGGTTACCAAAATCGGAAAAGACTTGAGAAAGTTACAGGGCTATTAATTTTAAAAAAAAATTTGTTGGCTGCTTTTTTTGCCTGTGAGTGTAGTATAATCCAAGCTTATCAAGTCCTGGTTTCATCATCTTGGTAGAGATATAAGGCACAGTTGATAAACCCATTGGTATAATATTATACTTACTGAAATACCGGGTGACCCGAATCCAATTTACCCCCCTGTAAAGAGCAACGATTTTGAGTAGATGTTTTAAATTTTGGACATCGATTCGATTTTAGGTGTATAAATCCGCTAGTATCTCATCAAAATAAAACTTTCGATTTGACCTGCAATAATTATTTTTTTCAAATACCACGTATATTTTTTTCTGTATATTACGTTTCAGTATAACCTTTCTAACGATATATCACAATAATACTTTCAATCAATAATCTACTTATGTAATAGTGATTTTTCACTATGGATTTCAAGAGCTCTCAATCTTTTAAGTGTGTTGCACTTATTCGAAAAATTCAAATTAAACGCACTTTCCATAATATCCCATGTGTTAGAGAGTGACAGAGAATAGATTTCTAAAAGGATTAAAAACAAACACATTTTTCGAATGAGTGCGATACACCGTCATTTTAGGAGATTGAATGCTCTTAAAATTCATAATAAATCCAGGGCCATATTTAAAAAAACAAAGTTGATGATTGCAGCTCAAAAATGGTAGAATTTACTAAACGTCGGTTTGAAAATCTAATGACACCAACTTGTAGAACAAAAAAGTGGCAATGAGAATATGTTATTTGTTTTGTTACATCTATGCAAATACAGTCATAAAAAATGAAAAGTGAATCGCAAATATTCGTTTTTTTCTCCAAATATCTCTAAAAAGTATTTGGAATTTTTCAATTTTCAAAAACGACAGTTTGCTTGGGATGAAATGGCGAAACTTAATTTAACCGACCCTGTATCCCTTACGGTTGACGAGATGCCAAAGATGAGCCTAGATTTCCAGCCACTCTATACGGTGTACCACTAGGGAAGGACGCCGCCTGTATCTCGGAAACTATTTGCCGCACAGGTTTCGGAAAAAAATATTTATAATGAAAGTGGCTGAGAGAAATCTCTGGAAATCATTTTCAAATTCCCAGGACGACCGCTAGAGGGCGTAATTGCAATAGCCAATTTAAAAAACGGGAGTTTGTGAGATGTCAAAAACTCTTTTTTTTATAATCACGTGTTGATTTCCAATCATGTTGATAAAAAAATTGTACTAGCTCTTCAAATGAATGAAGGAGGGGAGGATGAACAGCGCTATGGAAGAACTCTTATTACCACAGTTTGGTGTAACGGAATTCAACGAACTTAGTCTCATTATGAGGTGATTTTCCAGATCATTCAGATGAATCACGAATCGAGTCGATAAAAATCCCGTGGTGGCCGCTAGATGGCACTTTTTGAAAAATCAGACAATTTTCCATTTTTTCCCGAGATTTTTGAACGGAACCATATATTTTCCTCACTCTAATATGAAAGTAGAGGGAACAAGAAAAATATGATAGAAACCGCAACTTGATACCTCTTGATGAACCGCAGACATCAAAATAATATCAGAAAATATTGATTGTATAGGTACTGAAACAATTAGTAGCACTAGTATCTTCCTAGATACCAATTGTCTTCCATCATTTTCTATACATAAATTGGGTATCTGTGGAGCAGCTTCCACTTCGGCCATTGGTATGCTTTCGACGGCAGTTCTGATTCTATTGATCATATCCTCCATAGTTGTTGGTTTGGTCGGGTTTCAAAAATAATATTTTTCAATCTCCCTCCTCATTGATTAAAATTTTTAAAAGTCAAATCTGAAGACCTTACTGGCTACATGCTACCCCTTCCTATCTACTTGCCAGGATACCTTAAATCTCAATAAACCAAGGTTGTTGAATTCCGTTACATCAAACTTTAGTAATGAACAGTTTTTCTATAGCGTTATTCATCCTCCCCTCTTCCATTTATTTGAAGAGCTGGCGTCCTTTTTTTATCGGAATGATTGGAAATCAACTGGAGTTCATGAGAAAAGAGTTTTTGACATACCTTGATATACCGAATTCTTGCATAATCCCGTTTTTCAAATTGGCCAATGCAATTACGCTCTTTAACAGCCGTCCTGGAAACTTGAAAATAATTTCCAGAGATTTCTCTTGGCCACTTTCATCATGAATATTTGTTTCTGAAACCTGTGAGGCGAATAGTTTCCGAGATACAGCCGGAGTCCTTTCTTAGTGGTACAACCGGTACATTATTATTATGACTTGCCCCCCTGAGCTTATTTCTACCGGCTACCTGTTGATGTCAGTTCGTCTGTCTTTTAGTTGGGATCCCATTTAACTGGCGGAGACATCTATGCATTGGTTCATGAGAATACATTGGTGAAACATAAAATGCTGCTACCACCAAAAGCGAAGGGTACTGTTACCTACATTGCAGAGCCTGGCAACTACACTGTTGATGTGAGTAATTTATTCGTTAACAATAGAGCACTGTCAGTAACATTATATGACATAAAACTGTCGGCCATTCAACATGAATTAATAAACATTTTCCGTAAGGGTACATGTAGCTTTCTTGCACATCCCACTATAATACAATAACTGGAGTATTGATTTATTTATGTTTGTTGATTCATTCATCATGAATACTTTGAGAAATGTGAAATATTCTAATGAAGAGTTCAAATAGGTTTATTTGTCATATGTAATACCACTAGTGATACTTTTTTACTGGAAATATTCAGCGATTGTTACGCCAGCTTGCTGACCAATAATTACGCGAATGAGCAAAGTTATAGCAGCAAGCTGGAGTATGTCAATCGACGGATATTTTCAGGAAAAATACTATCACGAGTTGTATTCCTATGACTATTCTGCGCACACTGCATCCGACATTCTGGCTTCCAACAAGCCTCCCAAGGGAAGCCTCTTTGAAATTTAAAGCTAAATCAAAAGCTGAGTTCGATATTTCAAATTTATTCCTGACAAAATGAATAAAACAACATATATTTTGGGTTTATATAACGAAATCAGATTTAGAAATTGTCTAGGTTTGTTTAAGTTTACTGTTGGTTCTCCTAAATGTAGATGAAAAATGCACCTGATTGTTTTGTAATGGGTCAAAAAGGATACAATCAAAATTCACGCTTTGTTCGTCCTCCGATCAGCTGATAAAACGACGAGTGCGGCATGTTGTGACGTCAGCTGACACTGCTCTATTAGAATTTCAGAGATTGAATCATGTTTGTTGGATAGTGAAATAGTCAGTTCACTTCTGCTCTGATAACATCCTGTAAAAAGGAAATGTATTGTTAGTTTTTGACTCATTATAGTTAATGATGTATTAAGTGTCAGAAAGGAATATATTATACTTGATATCATTAAAAAATTGTTCTCAAAAGAACTTTGTACTTCTGTCGATTTACTATAGGTAATGGGCCCAGGTAAACGCTAAAGAAAAATGGGTCAAACAAGTTATAGAATAGAGCCACTAAGAAGTAACAATTATGATACTTGGAAACTACAGGCGCAAGCAGTATTGACACACGCGAATTATGGGACTTTGTTTCAGGCGAGGTTTCAGGTAGAAATTAAGGATGATGGTGCTAGTGATGAGTGGTAAAAAGGGGATTTGAATGGAAGTTCAGAACTTATACTGATAAATTTCACCTAATGAGTCGAAACAAATCAAAACCTGCCTCATGTCCAAAGACATATCGGACAGTTTACAAAAAATTTACCAAACTAAAAGTCCTGCTTGGAAGGCTACACTGGAAAACTCAATAATACATAAAATGGAAGGAAACTATGATGGAAGAGAGTATTTGAACCATTTTTCTGATACAGCAGACAAGTTATCTGATATGGATACCAAAATAAATAATGATCTACTGAGTCACAATCATTTGGGAATTTCCAGCAACGAAGGTGCATATTATGGAAGAAATAGAAATCAGTATCAGAAAAGATACAATAACCAATTCAAACAAATAGGCAGTTCGACAATAACCAGTACAGACAAATAGAAAACAGAGTGAAGTGCAATAAAGGTTACCGTTTTGGAAATAAAACGACTGACTGCAGATCTAGATCTGAAGAATTATGTTCATCCCTGGGAAACTATGAAGAATAGAGAAGTTGGTGTCTTGACAGCGGATGTACAGTCGTATTCAATAAAAAAGCGTACAAGTATTAAACATAAAAGATTTCGGCATTCTAGTTCTTGTTGTGTAAAATTGGCTCAGCCAATGCTTTGTGTTTTTGATAACCTATGATTACTCCACTGTCAACATTTGGTAAACATTCATTCCCGATCGCCCGTTTCACGCAAATAGGATGACGTTAATTTCTCTCTCCAATATACTTGTACGCTTTTTTTTTTGATACGACTGTACGTCGCATCTCTGTCGGAAAAATATACTTTTGAAACAATTGAAGATCTACAAAATGGATTTATCAAATTAACATCAGAAAATTAGACAGCCCCAATTCAAGGAAAATGAGATGTCGCACTGACGTTTCCAGAAAGTAAAAATGTAACATCACACACTGTATGTACCCAATATCTCAACGAATTTGATGTGGGTTGAGGAAAAAACTGAAAAGAGTTACATAGTTTTATTTAGAAAAAATGATGCTATCATTGTAGATCAACAAGGATTCCCAATTTGTAAAGCAAAAAGAAAACAACTGAAATGATGATATGGCATGAAAAGTTCGGATATATATGAAGCTGATCTAAAATTTGTATTGCAAACCAATGTAATGAATGGATTATATTAATTAGTTACTTGTGAAACCTGCATTAAGGGAAAAATGACGAAATTACCATTTTCCCAAAGGGAACATGAAGCTGAATCATTGTTGGAAGTAATTCATTCTGATGTTTGGGGACCATTCAAAATAAAATTTCATGGTGCTTTACATTATTTTGTCACATTCACAGATGAGTATTCTAGATACTGCAAAGTGTTTTTCTCAAACATAAACGTCCTAAAATGATTCAAAACCGACATTATGAAGTGGAAAATGAACATGATACAAAAATAAATTATCTTTAAAGTGACCATGAAAAGGCTGAATACTGTAATGCAGAATTTAACAGATTTTCAAGGGGATGTGGTATCGAAAGAAGATTTTCCTTTACCTACCCGCATTATCAAAATGGCATATCTGAACGTTAAAACAGATTGCTACTAAATAATGCAAGATGTCTGATTATTGGAGCAAAATATCCATTGATATCTTGGGCTGAAGCTATTAACACAGCTAATTACCTGATTAATAGGTCTCCATCAGGGTATCAGATGCCAAAACACCATTTGAAAAATGTTCCATCCATTAAACATCTCTATTTTCCATGTTTTTGGATCAAAGGCGTTTATTCTCAATAAAAAGCCGAATAAACGGAAATTTTCAGCAAGAGCTGAAGGAAGCATATTTAGGTTATTCTGAAACATCAGACGCATATAGAATCTGGATGCAGAATTGAAGAGATGTTAAATTTATTGATGATGAATCAAGTAGTTTCAACGATCTGGAAGAAAACTATGATATATTTGGATGTGAAATAAATAAGAAACAAAACAAAAGTCAGACACATTCCGAAACATAAAATGAAAACTTGAATGTAGAGATTGATATTTCAGTTGAAAATCAACCTAAAGATGAAAACTGATATGAAAATCCTGAAAATGGAAATCAATCTGAAAATCAACGGTAAGAAAACCAACAAGAATATTATCAAGATGAAGAAGTACTACAGACACATGAAAGTGACCGTAAACAAAACAAAGAAGACATCATCACAGAAACAGAACATTTTCAAGGGCTAATTGGAAACGAAAATAGACCAAAAATAATACACAAAAACCCAAGTGAACTGAAGATTATGTGTCATATTTCATCGGAGAAAAAGACGCAGAGGAAGAAGTTGAAAATTAAAAATGGAATGAAGCTATAAAAAATTGAATGAGAGCTCACATAAAAATGGGACGTGGATAATTACTGATAATAAGTCAGACAAAAATGTAGTGACAAATAAAATACTCTTCAAGGAAAAATGCAATGCAGATGGCAGCTTAGAAAGAAGGAAAGCAAGATTAGTAGCTAGAGGATTCACTAAACATCAACAAGTTGATTATAACGAAACATTTGCACCAGTGGCTAAACTAAGTTTTAACAGATTGGTGTTTGCTTTAGCAGCAGAAAAAATCTATAATTGAATCAGATTGACGTAACAACCGCATTTCTGAATGGTGAGATTGAAAAAGAAATCTATATAAAAATACCGAATAGTCTCGAAAAGTATCTACATGAAATAATTTTTGAAGAAGGTTCGAACAACGAAGAAATTTATTTGATTGGTTTAAGAATGTTTAAAGACCTCAAAAAGGTTTCAAAGGAAGAAGTATGTCAACTGCACAAGGCCTTTTTTGAATTTATTGAAATAATTGCATTCACGTCATTAGAGCCTGATCCCTGTATCTACACATATACAGCAAAGGGGGAGAACAGGCCATTCTTGCAGTATATGTGGATGATCTGATCATAGACACATCATGCAACACAGTGTTGAAGCAAAAGAAGTAATGCTTGGGAAATGGAATGAAAAAAAAAATCGTATCATTACAATGAATCATCGAAAATCTGTCAAGGATTTATTGAAGAAATTTGAAACGCAAAAATTGATTTTAAACTCATGATAAACTCTAAGTCAAAGCGAATCTCATTAAGAGAACACTTCATCAGATACCTTATGGAAAGAGGATGAATTGAAATTGTCTACAAACAGACAGACGATATGAATAACTCTTTTTATTGAACATTTATAAAATTATCTGACATTGTCATCATAGTACATACCTAAATTATAGGAAAAATGAGAGAAAGAAAGAAAAATCTGAATGAGTGTGAAGAGTAGGATTGTGGAAGTGGAGAAATTCCTTTAAGAGCTGATATGCTACAATCAGAAGAAAAGGAACATTCCATACCTAGCAATAGAAATAGTATTTCAGGAAGTGATTCATTTGATTCAATTGAATTCCAATTTACATTACACACAGGTAAACTATGAATCTAAGTTGAACACATAGAAATCATTAGAGAGATGGATTTGATAATCTGCGAGAAATTATATGTATTATACTCTCATCAGAAGTCAATGAGAGAATTAATGAGAATTATAACTTGAGAGTGTTTATTATAAATGATGCCAATAATATTATGGAATCTTTGAGTCAAATAAAAAGAAAAATTGAAAATTTGAACGGTATGGAAGTAAAATCTCTGAAGTCATTCTGATATTCTGAAGAAAAAACCTAATTCTTTGTGAGAAAAGAACAGACGCTGATTTTGAAACCAACCTGCAAAAAACAAGAAATGATGCAGAAAAAATTCAAATATCAGCAAATTGAGGGTAGGTGTACATACTCTGAAAGAAATGCATTATGGCAATTTATCAATAATATGCAAGAATGAAGAGGAAACTATTTGAAAGGAAATTATTGAAAAATTACCATCCAAATATGACGCGGAAATAAATAAATTGATGAGACCTAAAATTAAAATTCCGAAATTGGACCAAAATATATCAATTCAGGAGATGATTATTGAACAGAATAATATTATAAACAAAGATGGCACTTTACAAATAGAGCACCTGAAATTTTTTGATAAAAAACGTACATATACGGTATATGCTGAAATCAATAGAAAATTATATCAAAGAATAATGACAAATAACGATGGTAAACTTTTTTTTGGTTGGCAAACTTCAAAAGTATATGACTATAATATGAATAAGAATAATATAATCAATCAAATCGTCACACCTTTTAATCAAGAGGTCTTCAGCTGAGCAGTTCATGAGGGGGAGTGTTGGATAGTGAAATACTCAGTTCACTCCTGCTCTATATAGCATCCTGTAAAAAGGAATTGTTTTGTTAGTTTTTGACTTATTAGGTTGTTTTCTTTCGAAAAATACAATCTGAAACCATCAGAAGCATGCGCAGTTCCACGGAACCTGAAAAATGCAAATAGTTCTGTGAAACTGCGCATGCTCCTTATGATTTCAGACATAATTAATGATGTATGACGTGCCAGAAATAAATATATCATACTTGTCATCATTGAAAACAACTGTGTACTTCTATCGATTTACTATAATGTTTCAATAGGATGTAGTATTGGAAACTGAGTTTGATGGAGAGCGCACCAAATTCACTATGTTGCAAGTCTGGCCAGTACGTCAGTCCAGACCAGTAAGCGAAAAATTGCCAGCAAACCATCCACTTCTTACAGGACAACGTGTGCTGGATTCTCTGTTCCCGTAAGTATTTCTTTTATTTCAGAAATCCGACGAATTCATTTTGAAATGTGGAAGGAAAAGGTTTTTCATTGCTTAGAGCGCACGACAGGGAATCCTTATCTTTTAACTTTTGGGGATTGTAAGTTTTGGGAAAAATTTCTCAAGCAATGATTTTCAGAGCTTTCCGTTCTATAGATAAACAAGTTTTGACAAAGTGCTGTTCCACATATTTCGAGGTCTATAGTAGAGGTAAGCGGCGTCCACTTTTTCGAAAACCAAGGCCTACTAGATTACATTCAGAGGCTGAAAAATCCAGAATCCCTATAAGCGAATATAAAAAATGCGTATGCCTCTGAAATCGGCATACTCTGAAATTTGTACAAAGTTTCATGAAAAATATTATTAACGATTCGACTAGATTACTAACAAGTTTTTCCAGTGGGCGCAGCTTAGCTCCAAAATACACCGTTCCTCCCTCCATATTTCGTAAAAAAAAATTGTTGAAATCGTTCCATGAATAAACAATGTATCAAGGTGGCCCGCTTTCAAATGGGTCACTCTGTATATGTATTCCTCCGTGGACAAAAATAAATGAACATCATAATAGTTATGAATAGGAATTTTTTTGTTGATACTGAAAAGTTTTGAGATTTCTACTTACAAGGACGGGATTGGCTCAATGGATGAGCGCCCGACTCATGACCGCTCGGTCGTGGGCTCTCATACAGGGCGAGGAATTTTTCTAATATTTAATTAACAGTGAATATTGCAAAGTTTCGGAGCATCGGCTGGGGATAGTCCTGCACGACTAACTGTTGCGTTCTAATTAACAATGCTGCTCCTAAGGTGGCGTATGGAGTTAGTAGCAAAGCCTTCACAGAACACATCATTTCAGAAAAGTTTGGGATGAAGCACCTCAATGGAGGTCGATGACCAGTTGGTACGTACTTGCCTATCAACGAAGTACATATACTACTACTTCACTTACGAGGTATTGATTTTAGGCAATCGATCAGTTTTATTACACTAATGAATGCCAAGAAAATAACATTCATTGCAGCTTGCTTATCTGCAATTATCTTTTCATCTTATTCATTATGTGCTTCAATTTATTTATGGCAATGCATTGTGAAATTGTCAATTTTGACAGATAAATGGAGTTTCCTAGACAAACTCTCTCCACATTTCCTCATCCAAAATAGTTTCTCAGGGAATTTTGGGATTTTCTCCTCTTTGATTAGGCTTCAGAATATTTTGACCCACAAGACTTTGTGCCACTCAATAGGCGGCCTTATTTTTTTGTTGAAAATTCCAGACCAGCAATGTTTGATCAACCAAACTGTTTTTTCTGACAAATCACGTGGGTGCCCACCAGCGAAATAAATCGGAAATTTTTTGACGTTTCAATGACAGAATAATATTTTGACGTCCTAAAATTGTGGTTTTTTGAAACTACAATGAGTATAAATCAACAATCGATAGGCGTAGAATCTATTGATGCCCAAACTGTATCTATTATACAGTATGGTATGTCATACCAGTGTAAGGCTAGGGCGTATGGAAATCTGAGATTCGAAATTTTTGGTGCTGATACGCTTCAACAGGAAGATCTTATTAACCTAAGGTGGACGGACATACTGACCTTTATCAGAAGGACACGAAGGTTGGGAAAGGAGAATTAGGAGAAGGATTAGTAGATACGTCTGCAGCAGTGGTCAACAAAATGGGCTCACGGCGACCGCCTCCCCTCCCCTCCACCACTAGTATGTACCTACCTAGTCATGAAAAATTAATTGATAATATGAAATAAAATGATTGAAGACATTCTAAAATTATTTAATTTCCAACCACAATCTGGTGTGTAAATTTCTTACCGAATATCACACGAAGTTGAATTATTTCTCACGAATTTTTTCTCGCTTATGAATATAAATAATATAAATACAAAACATTTCCGGAAAAAATTCAACCTATAGTGGTATTACAAGCGAAAATCAAAATGAAGCTAAACTCTGAGAAAAAAACGGCAAAAAAAGTCGAATTGATTCCCCTGTGACTTTTAATTCTTGTCTGATTTTGGTGAAATTTTGACCAAATCGAAGATTCATATTTCGAAATGTTAGCCTGATATTAGTTCCCAAGAAAACCTGCTGGCTTGATTATCAACAGGAGAAACAAATGTTACTTTTTTACTCTTAACTTCTTAACGCCCTGTGGCAAAAGTGAGTGGTTAAACTCCGCATCATTATGTTTTGGATTGAAGTGTAATCCCTTCTCAACACAATGGACTTCAATTTTATCTTCTTTTCAAAAGAAGATATAAGTGTTTTGAGGAATTATGGATTTTTTTGATTTTCATCAACAATAATTCAGGATCTACATGAACTCATCGATCATCAACTTGAAGAAACTTCTTAAAATCAATATCTCTTATTCCCCCTCCCCGTTTTTTAGCTCTCAACGGCTAAAAAACCTTGATTACAAAAAACATCAAGAGCATTTTTAAATTCAACCAATAACGAGCTTGATTTATAGCATTCGACCGCCGTGGCATCCAGTTGATCAAATGTCTCAAGCAGTCTTTAGGAATTTCTTCAAAAGTCCGAATGAAGACGAATACGCCTCTGGAGTTCATTTCGATGATGTTCTGAATTATTAATATAATTCAAATTGAAAAAATCCATAATTTCTTAAAACACGTGTGTTCTCTTTGAAAAAAGATATTGTTTTGAATCGAAAATCATTGTGTTGAGAAGGGATCACACAATAGTGCACAAACTGCGTTCCGGTTCTGCGTATTTGTATGCGCTTTATTGTAGACTCAAACACCTTCCCACACTTATTTTTCCATAGAAGGTTCGAACTTTGGAATGACAGTATGGCAAGCAATGATTGTGACTTCTGTGAACAGTAATTAGTTCAGTCAACAAACGGGTTGTAGAGGACATGAAAGAGTACAGTTTGTTTTAGACTAGGGATATGTTCTCACAAGAAACTCGAAGTACTATTTATTATCGATGAAATTTGCTCACGAAATATTATTAGGTTAAATAGAATATGAGCAAACGACTTTGTTTGAATGAAATAATGAAAAATAAGTCGATAGAAGATCAATCTCTCAGTTTTTTGCAAATTCATTTAGCTAAAGTTGCTAGAAATATGTTTTCTCAGAAGAAACTTATCAACTTATAGAATTAATTCGACGAAATCTGAAGTTGAATGTAAATGTCATTTTATCTATAAACATAAACAATTTTCCAGTTTAATTTGATGATCCATCCCACGAGGAGGAGGAAAAAAAATTCTAGAAATTTGTTTAGTTGTTATGGTAATGATACAAAATAAAGGTTTTTAATAGGTCGAAATTGTAAGGTTGTGAAATTTTCTACGAATTTGTATCAATAGGTTTTTTCTCTATCGTTAATTGTTTTCGAAATATTCGCTAGTTAATCATGTAAATTTTTGAAAACGAATCAATCTTTTTCACCAAAGTCTTCGACGTAGAAGTCGCGAAGGATTCAATTATCTTCTCAATGTTATGTCACATAAATGTATTTCTTATGTACAGGGTGTTTCATAATATTTGGGACGCACTTCGAGAGGTTATAGGGCGTCTCAAAAAAATAGAAAAGTTCCCGTTAACAAATTTTGTAAAAGGCTTCGTTTGCAAGATACAGGGCGTTGAAGTTGCAAATATCTATAGAATTTCCTTATGTCCACAAAATTTGGTCTGTTATGTGATTGGCATAGTGCCGTAATACCAAAATAATATCTGTCATGGATATACGGTAATCTGAACAGATGTCCTGAATGGACTATCCGATAGCTATATCAAATTTTTGAGTTGAATTTGGTTATTCCGTTTTGCCGTAAAACAGTGTTCTTTAACCAGTTTCAAGATCAACAACTCTTTCATGTTTTCGAATAAAATTTTGAAAAGTTTCACCGCCTCCCATGTTTTTTAAAAAAATGAAACATCAATGCCCCTTCAAAATCAAATCAAAATATACTTTATTGTCGGAAGAATGAAATTCTCATTGACAAATTGTAGAGATATATAAACTTGTCCTACATGACACTCTTCGTCCTACATTGCATGAATATAGAATGGCACGTTTGTGTAGGACGATAATATTGAATGGAAGTTTTCTTGATTACATGAACTATTCCATATCTAATATGTGACTCAAGGTGTGCGTGGTGAATCACCTTAGCTATTTCTGTATCCAATTCATTGGCCACTACACGCAGAGCATAAAATCCTGATGCAAGCTTATTTCCCAGTTTTGTCACGTGATGATAAAATTAAAATTTATCATCAATGTATACTCCAAGAAAATTGTTCATACTCACATTGACTATCAATTCATCTCCTAAAGGAATATGGGGTAGGGCACAATGGTATGATATAAAGTTTGTTTTGTTAATGTTGAAAAAGAATAGGTTGGCATCACACCATCTTTTAATGTTTGCTATATCTCGGGTTATTTTCGAGTGTAAGCTTTTTTGTTGTTATCATGTCATAAGATTGTTGTATCATCCGCGAAGACTGTGAATAGTCCACCAGTTGTTATGCTTGTCAGGTCATTGAAGTACAACAAAAACAAGATTAGACCAAGTACCGATCCATGAGGAACGCCACAATGAATTGCACCACTGTCCAATAACTTGTGGGTTTTAGCTAGTTGGGTTCTTTGGCTCAATTAAGACTACCCACTTATGGCTCTGATTGCTGAATCCATGTATAGCTCTGTAGCTGAATAATTTCTCTCGGCCCTAGAAAGACTTCTACTAGCATATGCTATGACTCTTTCTTCATCATTTTGCACTTGTGTTAAAACAGCACCTAATCCAGTTTCACTAGCATCACATTGGATACAAAATTCCAATGAAAAATCTGGGGCACATAAAATCGGAACAGAAATCAATCTTTGTTTAATTTCAATAAATGCCTTTTCAGCCTGATCATTCCATGGAACAGTTTGCTTTTTAATCCTCCCCTTCAATAAGTCATTCAAAGGACTCAACAAAGTACTGAAGTGAGGAATAAAACGCCTGTACCACGAACACATACCAACAAAACGTTTTATTTCTGTAGTGGTTTTAGGTCTGGGATATTCTACCATTGACTTTATTTTATTTGGTGACGTTCTCAAACCGTGAGAATCCACAACGAAGCCCAAATAATGTAAAGATTCTCTAAAAAATTGACATTTCTTGAAATTGACAGTTAAATTAGCTTCAACTAAACGTTTATAAACTTCTTCCAATAAACTAATATGCTCATCAAAATTTGAACTAGTACATATTATACAAGCAACATGCTTCATAGAATAACCTGGTTATCCTGGTGAAAAATCTGTCACGATTCTAAAAGTTTGTCCAACCAGATAGATACGAACACGTTTCAAACTCAACAACGGCGAGAGTTTCTAGTTCGTAGCTGTGATGAAATTTTTCGGCGGGCGGAGTTACCCGACTGAAATATGCAACTGGTTTTAAGGCCTTGTCTTTCGTTATTTGGAAAAATATGCCAGCCAGTCCTTTGACACTTGCATCCGTATGTATCTCTATTTCTAGGCATGGATCGTAAGATGTTGAAATTTGTTTGTGAATCAAACATTCCTACGGTTTAGAAAAAGCTGTTTCCTGATCTTGGCCCCATTCAAATGGCGTATTCTTTTTTGTTTACTTGGTTAATGGCAAAGCAATAATTGCAACATTTTTAACAAACTTTCTAAAATATCCGGCAAGTCCCAGGAATTGACGGACCTCATGGACATTTTCCGGCTGCCAAAAATTTTTGACACATTTAACTTGCTGATCCAGGGGATATACCTCTCGGACCAATTTCATGTCCTAAAAAGTTAACTGAATTCTTCAAGAATGATGATTTTTTCAATTTCAATTCGAAACCAGATTCTCTCAGAATTTTTAGAACTGTTCCCAGTAGCTTCAAGCCCTCATCGATGGATGTTGTAGGTAGCAACAAATCATCCATATATACCAACACCTGGCTGTAACGGAGACCCCCCACTGCGTTATTTATGGCGTTTTAAAAAACCGCAGGCGCGTTAACCGAAAGGCATCTTTAGAAACTCTTAATGTTCATCTGGTGTCACAATGGCCGTTTTTGAATCGATTTCGGTTCTACAGCTATTTGATGGAATCCCTGATTACAGTCCAAAGAAGGGAAATAAAATTCACCTCATAACAAAATCAGATGCTCTTCTATGTTGGGCATTGGATATATTTGGTTGATGGTAGCTTTATTAAGAGCCCTGCAATCGCAACATAGCAAAATCGGAGTGTGACTCCCTCACAATACCGGCATCTACTAATTCTTCTACCTTATCTCTAACTAACTCCCTCTCTCTGACTTTTAGTTTAATTTCAAGTGAGCAACCCTTAACGGTTCCCAGCTCCGCAGAATTTTCAGCAGAACAATTTCTCCATTTATTCAAAAAATTTGAAACATTACTCCGTGTTCTCGAATCCTAATCAGTATTAATGTCTAGATCACTCATACAAAATGATTTCAACACATTTTCAATCAGGCTCACCTCATAGTTATTCATCTTCGTGGAATCGATATTACCTCCAGCCTCGACCAATCAACCTTCCCTCCTGCCAGGTCACTTCTTGATCACCCTTATTGGAAACTGGAACCACGTAGAATCTTTCCTGGAATTGCGTCCTGTTTGGAATCGTTTATTGTCTGTATAGATGTCTTCAGAATAGTCGACTTCTGTTTTATTCACTGATACGATCGACGTTGTCTTGGGCTGAAGTGTGATGTCCTCCGAAATGAAAAGATGCGGCCGACCCTGTGTTCCACCTAAAGTAATACTGGCCAACAAATCTCCATTGACCTTGGTTAGCATAGCCTTCCCTGAAGGAACGAAAAGTGATACCCCTCGGCGTTAATTATTGGCTGGCCGAAAATCTTGTCAAAATTATCCAAATTTGGAGTGGTCACTAGGGCTGAGGTTTCAGTCTGGAAATCATCGATCTCCAAAATAAATTTGGTTGCCATGTCAATACGTATGAGAGATCCCCAAAAGACTTTGAGGTGCTTGACACCGAAAATACGGGAAGTCGCTATCTAGGTAGGCAATAATTTGATTTCCATTTATAGTGCATCTTTGTGTATATGTATCATTGATTTCTCGTCCATTTATCACTCGAACTGATTTCGGCTCAGGGACATCCGTCGACTTGCTTGACGGGCCCGGATCAATTTTCCGAAGTCGGCAATCTTCTTTTTTATGCCTAAATAGGTTGCAAGAGTAGCACCTTGAGGATCCCTTGAGGCGACAATCTCTAGCCACGTGACCTAACTTTCCACAGTTGAAACATTCTCCAGTTCTACTATTACTATTGTCCAATCTGATCCTTTTAGCTTTTGGTTCTTCTCGTGGGCTCCGACAGTTTTCGAAGGGAACAATAAATCCTGCATAAAGTTCATCAATTGTTGGGCATTGAAAGGCCCTGGCATTAGCTGGAAGTTCCAACGGCAAGCCTTTTATTATACATGAAATTGCTGCGTCTTCGTCTAACCTACACTGCTGGATCAGGGCCAATTTTTCGTGATAATAATGTGCCATTGTCTCGCCGGATCTCTTTTTACGCTTAACCAAATCTTCTAACACCGTTGCGTAGTCTGTACATCTAGGAAAGGCGCGTGCCAACGCTGTTTTCCATTCGCTCCAAGACTTTCTATAATCGTCCAGCCGGTTAAACCAATTTCGCGCTGATCCGCGCAGTTTCTGTTGCATAAACGTAGTTCTTTGATAGTCGCTCCAACCATGAATATCTCCGAGTTGATCAATTTTTTAGATCCACCATGTAATTGGCATTGTCTTGTCATCTGGATCAAATACGGGTACAATATCAATGGCCGCCCTAGATGTTGAGGTTAACGTTAGGTTACTGTTTATTTCATTAGCATCCGACGCTGACAAACTCGAACTAAATCGTATTTTGAGAACATCACTTATTTCCTTTTCTATATGCTTTTCCAACAGTTCGCGATATAGGTCATTCTCGTTCTCACTCATTTTTGAAATTCGAAGTCACTGCACTTGTTACCACAATCCCTACACTTTTTGGAGGCACGTGGAATATCCCACTATCTGATGTTGATACTGAACTTTCAAATGAGGTTTGTGAATTAGCGAAACTAATGAATAAATAACTTCAATTTTATATTTTCTGACCGAACTACATGAAATTGAAATAACGACTGACTAATTCCAACATTCCATATCCTATGAAGACCCGATCACGTAACCCTTTGTAGGTGAATTATAGTTCTACAGAGGCGGCGGGGTAACATTCATAATTGCGGATTACAAAAGTTTATATAATTACGCGCGAAGTTATATTCGTCTTCAATTTTTCAGTTTAGTCGCTTATAACTTTTTTCGGCTCGATAAAAGAAAGTAGTCAAGCAGGAATATTATGTAATAAACATTTATATTCCGAAATATAAAAAGGATTAAAGGAAGAGGATTTTGCATCGTTTTCCTCTACTACTGGCCAATGCCACGCAGAACATTGAACTATATCCCTCCCTACACTGATCAGGATCAAAATCGAAATCAATCGGCATTTAGGAAAGAAACATGGATTTCGGGAGGATGTAATTCAATATTCTGCGTGGCATTAGCCAGGAAAGTAGTATTTTTTCTCCCGTCATTTACCATTGTTGTTTAATTCATGAACATAAATGGAAATTACTTTGAGCTTCGTATTTATTTAACATTTCATTCCACTTTCAGCATTTTGGCTTTTTCATAGTTGTATCTATTCAATATTGATTTTATTAATCAATTTCCTAAAATTACTTTGAAAAACTTTCGACTGCTTATCAATATTTTTTTTTCAGATGTGTACAAGGAGGTACTACTGCTATTCCTGGTGCCTTTGGTTGTGGTAAAACTGTAATTTCCCAATCGCTTTCTAAGTACTCCAACAGTGATGTCATCGTCTACGTAGGCTGCGGAGAAAGAGGTTTGTAATTTCTCAATAGTACATTTAAGGTGGATTACATATACAGGGTGGGCCACCAGTAACGCCTCGGTCTCTAGAAGGCTAACCACTTATCTTCTTGGAATTCTTCCTCTCTAGAAAGTTGCATGTCAACATAGGCTACCATTTGAAATTATATTGAAACATACAGGATGTCTCCAAAAATCACAAAATCGAACACCCTATATATTATTTCATTTTGAGATTCTCCCTGGTGAGCTGATTTCAACAATCCATCATACTTGGGGTCTAGCAGTTATAATTACTGAGATATAGGTTACGGAACACCCTCTGTATTTTAAAGAAATTTTGAAATGTGGAGCTCGGTTATTACTTCAATTTTGATACATGACTTTTTTTTGTATCTCTCAAGACAACAGAGAAATCGAACTCTGGAGTCTTAGTTGGCCACCCTGTACAGCCCTGGTCATTTCCAACATGCCGTGCCTTTTCTTTCCTATAAACATTTGTTCGCAAAACCTTCGTTACCGATCTACAGAGCGTTAAAATTTCATGATTTTTTATTTTTTTCTAAGTCTTCAGTCTTCCAGATATTCAGATCAAATCTGGAACATGGGTTACTTATTAGGAAATTCATCATGCAGTATGCCCAGCGATTGTAAGAATCTACATGGAGATTAATTTTTCGGGGCCCAGGCCCTTTTTCGCTCCATAAACTTTTTTGTGGTGCGCCGCTGGTAGATTTTGAAATACGAAATCAGTGCTTTGTTTTGTTTTTGAACTTTTACGCATGATTTATTTTCTATGACAAAATATGTATATTTTACTTGATTCAATGAATAAATATATGAAGAAATACAAATTAATGTTATTGTAATAATTCAAGGTAATGAGATGTCCGAAGTATTGAGAGATTTCCCGGAGTTGACAGTGGAAATTGGCGGTGAGACAGAGTCCATCATGAAGCGTACAGCCCTGGTAGCTAACACTTCTAACATGCCTGTCGCCGCTCGAGAGGCCTCCATCTACACCGGCATCACTCTGTCCGAATATTTCCGCGATATGGGCTACAACGTGTCCATGATGGCCGATTCTACCTCCCGTTGGGCAGAGGCGTTGAGAGAAATTTCTGGTAAGATTTGTTTTATATCTTGCTTGTCCAATTCTCAGACTAATTAGCTGAATATTGAGTTCCTTAATGTTTTTGAAACTGTTGTTTGACGTTTTTGTATATTTGAGGTCGCCAAGGTCATTAGATGACGTTGCGATGACATTTAAAACTACGGGCAAACATCCTAATCCCTGGCATAAGTTGAAAGTTAGACTTGTTTTCCCGTAGTTTTCAATGCCATCAGAACGTCATCTAGACCTTTAAGACGGCGAATTTAGAGTACGGACACTATGGCAAGCACTGACAGTCAGACATGACCACAAATAAATTGATGAAAAAAGCGGGAACTGCCAGTACAGGAACGTAAATGACCTGTGCCTTTTCCAACTCTAAAAATACTGAAAATTTTGTGAGTCACCTTGTGGAACTCTGATGTACAGGGTGATTTATCATAAATGTCCCCACTCTAGCTTTCTTATTTTTGAACGGATTTCAAAATTTGAAAAATCATTCAAATTAATTTTTCATAATCTTTGTTTCACTACATCAAGAAATACAGGGTGCTCGGAACAATAGATCCACTAGTACTGGTTGATTTTTTTAAATGGGTCGCCCTGTATTTCATCACACAATCAATTAGAGATTTCAAAAATGAATCAAACAATAGGGTATGATAGTATGATGGGGTTTTGTCAAATGACTAGGAAGATATAGTCGATTTTCTTATATACAGGCTGATTCACAGTGGATGGCACATAAGACGTTTCTGGTGAACCAGACAACGGATCACATGCGGTGTTGCCACTTCTATTAGAAAGTAATATTTCAAATGGAACACACATTGCATTTTCAGATTTTTCCTGTAGAGCTGATTCCATCAGTGTATCACACTTGATAGACCTCAAGTAGGAATGCTTAGAGCCACTATCTCTATATCGAGAATCAGTCGGGAGAAATCCATGAAAATATGCATGCCTATATTTTAAAATACTCTCTCTTCATTTAAAATATTTTCAGCAATGCAGTGTTGCCGCTTCTATAAAAAAGTAGCAACAACTTTGTTGAAAAGGAATATTCTCAGATAAATTATGAACATACAGAAATGGATATATATTTATATGAAGCAATACATTGAGAATTCACATTCTCTATGTGATGAGAAAATTTACTCTTTCTCAGTTGATTCAATAGAAAACAACTACTTTATTGGCTATATGCCACGACGAACATTGAATTATATCTATTGAACACACACGATAAGAGTTTGAAAATAAAATATAAAAACTTCTGAAATTGAGAATTTGCATTCTCCTTCAGACAAAAATATGTACATGCGCACATCATTCTGAATATTCAACAGAAAACAACTACTTTCCTGGCTATTTGCCTCGTCGAACATTGAATTATATCTGATGAACATTCAAAAGGAGAACATGAAAAATAAAGAATAAAATCCTCCTCCGAAATTGAGAATTGACATTCTTCTTCAAATCGGATGAATAATATGATGTATAATGATATAGAAATATAACTTACCAATATATGTTCTGTTGATATCCCGGGAAAAAACCAGTATATCTAAATGTACACGCTATAATTTATTACTTTCGTTCCTCCGTCGTTCGCCGCGTGTGTGCTGTACGTGGCGCTCGGGTCGTCTGCTACAAACCATGCAGCAGAATTCCTCTTTCACATGAACTTTGAATCATGAGAAAATATGCATTTTTAACAAAGTTATTGAATAATTTGTCCCCCCGCCGATGTGTAAATACACGGACTGTGCTCTCCGGCATACAACACAGAAGCTCATTATTCGAGGTGCGCTTCGTGCCGTTTTTCTCGAAACCGGGCAAATTTTCGAGAAAAATGATGACCATTTTTGTAGAAAATTAACTGAACTTCAATTTTTATCTGAACCGACAATCTCTAACTGCCATATTTTAGGAGATATTGGCTGAAAACCTATTTTCCTGGTCTTTTGGGGCCATTTTCTCCGCCATCGCACGCGTTTTCCAGTCAAACTTTGTCTCATGTTTAATGAGGTACCAAAAGCTACTTCCAACCGGAAGATGAAAATAGTGCGTAATTAACGTTAACTTTGCATTTTTTCCTCCTTCATTTATTGGACTAATTGTCGTACCCAGAGGTTCTCTCAGGCCGGACAAAAATGTTTCCAATGTCAGATTGCTATAAAGTTTGCGTTTTAAAGCTTTGTCTTCCGCAGTATTTTCGTGAACGTCTATATAACTACACAAAAGATTCAAGATATTCAGACATCGATCATAGAACTCTTGGGGTTAAGTAATCCCAGATATTTGATGAATGTAACCCTAGTCAAAACATAATCTCCCAATTGTATATGGATGTTTATCATTTCCGTATTTTTCTGCTGGAAACACATATAAACAGTTTTTCCTTCATTAATTTTCAAGTTATTCGTCAGGATAAATTTTCTATAGAGTTCTAGGTCTTTATTGATCAAGTTTTCTAGCATTGAGTGGAATATCCATCAATCATATTCATTGAACTTGATCTAGATGGCTATAGCATGACTAGATCATGCAGTATCTGGCTTCTTCGAAATGGGTGATATATTCGGAGCGTTAAGGTGTCCCAGTTGTCAGCAGACCGAGAACGGATGATGAGGCCTGGTGGGCTGAAACAGAACTGTTTCGCTCCTGCTGACAATTGGGGCAACTCTGTTCATCTTAGATCTCTTAATCATGAAATCTAGTTCAACAATATCTTAATATTATTTTTCAGGTCGTTTGGCTGAAATGCCCGCCGATTCTGGATACCCAGCCTACTTGGGTGCACGGCTAGCCTCTTTTTACGAACGTGCTGGTCGCGTCAAGTGTCTAGGTAATCCAGACAGAGAAGGCTCTGTGTCGATTGTAGGAGCTGTATCTCCTCCTGGTGGGGACTTCTCTGATCCTGTCACTTCTGCTACTTTAGGTGAGTTTGTCGATTGAATATGAAGACCACACGGCAAGAACGAGGATAGTCATTTTTATTTCTTTTGCTAAAAAACTATTTATACTATATTTCAAGTTCAAAAGAACCTACTTCCAGAAATCATACGATTCAAATGTTGTGTACAAATTTTTGTTAACAGCTAATTATTTATCGGCAAAAGCGATAAAGGTATACTCAGACTGCAATAATTTCAATTTGTTTTCAATTATAATAGTATTGATCCCGACCACACAAAAAAAAACGATGGTTGTTGAATGAATGAATGAAGTTGTTTACCTACCACTACAAGTCATAATCTATACATACCTACGCTTCCACAACTTTTTTCTCTACCTAGACCATTACGTTTGATTTTTGCACAGGACTTTCATCACTGCTCTCACAATGTTCATTTGTTTTTTTCCTTCAACAGTGAAAACAAGAGCTTTTTTTTATCACTTAGAATTACACGGGAGTTTTTATTTTGGCTGGTTTTCATGCTTTCAAAAGTTAGGTTCTTTTTTGTCGCTGGAAAAGTTAGGGCAGACTTTTTTCGCTGTCATAATGTCAAAATCACGCGCCTTGTGGCATTTTTCATTCATGAATTAAATTGTCGGGTGAATTTCTCTCCTTAACGAAAAAATTGCCCAATCAGTAATTTCATGAGAAAAACTGATATGAAAAAATTGTGAGGACATAGGTCCAGCAATTTTGTCTCATGTCAGTAATTTGAGTGAAATTACTGATGGAAACATTTTGATTCAGTAAGGAAGTTTATGGAATAAAAAAAAACGTTCCAGTGATTTTTTGCAAGATGAATTAACGACATTATACGATTTGATTTTGAAATAAGTACATATATTCAGCACATCGATATGATACAGTCTAACGAATATTCCCATGATACCAGATTTTTTTCTAATTCTTCCAATTAACGAGAATGTCATCCAGAAAATTGAACAAGAAACGAGCAAAATATCAAATACGCCACTTTGAAAAAATTTGAATGATTGAACTCCGCGTGATTGTGACTTCCGTGCGGAAATTTTAACAAAGGTGACGTCAGAATTGCTGCAGTGAGACCTTTGGGGTGAAAAAGGGGTCTAACCCCGAATTTTAATTTGATCCCTATATTCATTTTATTGGAGCCATTCAATAGTATACGTCAAGTTTTCTCAGGGTTTGAAATACAGTCTAACGAATATTCCCATGATACCAGATTTTTTTCTAATTTTTCCAATTAACGAGAATGTCAACCAGAAAATTGAACAAAAAACGAGCAAAATATCAAATACGCCACTTTGAAACAATTTAAATGATTGAACTCCGCGTGATTAGGAATTCCGTTCGGAAATTTTAACAGAGGTGACGTCAGCATTGCTGCAGTGAAACCTTTGGGGTGAAAAAGTGGTCTAACCTCTAATTTTAATTTGATCCCTATATTTATTTGATTGGAGCCATTCGATAGTATACGTCAAGTTTTCTCAGGGTTTGAAATACGGCTCATCCTACGAGTTTTCATGTAAACAATACCCAATCATACTTGACAGGACAGAAATAATGACGGGCGCATACTGGAGGAAGTATGGTCTTGAGGAACAGACAAATAGGCATTTTTACAGCAATACAAAAATGTGCATCCTTTTATATAGATGTCAAAATGTCTCATGTCATCGTCAAATGTCGTTTCCGGTAAAGGTGTTATTTACCATATTATGTTATACCACAAGTGATACTATTTTGCCAGAAATATTCGGCGATTGTTACGAAAGGTTCTTGCCTAATAAGTTCGCGAATGACATAGTTTATCGAAACTTTCGAGCCGTACGCACCGACTCATAGACTAATCTAGACCGCCGATTCCATAAGGAAAAATGTGAGCCACTCAGGAGATCGAACTGGTGAAAATGATTAGGATCTGTCATGTTACACTCATGAATCCGAGGAACATTGGCGTATCGAAGGAAAAAGGTTGGGAGGGGTATACTATAGAAGGTTGATGAACCATAATTGAAGTAGTTAGGAACGAATGAAATATGCCGTATTTTTATATTTTCAAAAAACGGCGATGTGGCTTCAATATCCTGGATTTGCCTGGAAGCATGAGGAAGCTGTCCTAAGATGGTCTGAACATAATTATCCTTCCTGAATGGCTCCAATGGTTTTCTCATAGCCTCAAACCATTCATTTAAATTATTATTAGGAATTCTAGAATCATTAATGAATGAGTACACTATCAATCCAAAATCGTCTAAAATAGATGAGTAGGTATATGGCACCTCACACCGGATCTCAAATTCTTCACAGCTGAATGAATATACCAAAAATGCATGATTCCATTTGATGTAAATACTTGCTCAACTGAAGTAAGCGAATTAAAATAATAAATTATTCATTACTCACAAACTCACCGATGAAAAAAAAACATCTTTAGTATTATTTTTTGTATCTCTTGGAGCGCACGAAAGGAATTCGTGGAATTCTTACATCAAAGAATAAAGCACTTCATATTTCCTAGGATTCACGAAAATAAAACGAAAACATTTATATCACCACTTAGTTTTGATATTATTGAACGAAACACTTAAAACGACGCCATCCACCTTGTCGCCGCCTATGAACAAAATGGACGCTAGGTTGATTTCGATACCACGTCAAAGGCATGAACGGCAGCTTGGAGGTTCCTGCGTATTGAGCAGAAACGTCTTCAGGCGAGCAAATGACCACACATTTTCGGGTTGCTGCGATATGACTTATTGCAGTCTAGATAGAGAAATAAGTCGGTGGACGTATGCGAGAAGTTTTGGAACAATGTCATGAGCGAAATCAAAGCAGCAAGCTGAAGTATGTCAATCGGCGGATATCAGAGCTAATTTAAAACGTGCCGTCATGGCCGCCTATGTTATTATTGGTCAGATAATCTTCCATTCCCACTCATAAATCAAGGTTGTCGGGTCATCAATTATAATCTTATATCTTATAAGCCATGGTATTCTGGTTATCAAGTTGTGGCTTCCTCAAGCAACTAGCTTGTTGATATATTTCATATATACTCCATAACGGAACATCATCCATCCGATCCACTGTAAAAATTGGCAAGCCACTGTCTTCTTAGAAACTTTATTCCCTTTTGCTTGAAACATTATGCAAAAACAGTTTTGGGGGAATTGGAGGGGATGTAGCTCGGAGGGTGTGAATTTGAGGACCCATGTTTATGTAAAGAAAAAGTCTTATTTTGATCCCAACAGTATGTCCTTGAAATATTTACTGCGAACTTTGAATTACCTTGCATAGTCTGGCTTTTTTTTACCGCACTGGTATGAATAACCAATAATATCATCAGTTTTTCAGAGGCATTCATCTTGGACAGTGCCGTACGTTTTTAATGAATTGAAAAGGGGTAGATTTCTGATGAAATCATATTAGGATTTTTTTGCGGAAAAACTAACTTGATAGTGTTCCTCATGCTTATGAATGTACATAATATATGCAAGAATTCTCTATTCCGCATTATCAGTGTCCGCTTTATTTCTTGATTCTTTGCCCAAAAAAAAAAAAAGATTTCAAATTAGATTTTAGAACAAGATATTCTTTTTTTTTGTTGAACTCACCGTTTCCCAGTAAATAATTATGTGCCTGTTTTTTTTTAAACAAGAATTATATGAAAATTTCCAGATGAGAGTTCACAACCACAAAGAACGATATTATAGCGTCAGTTTTTTGTACAAAAAATCCTTATATGATTTCATGAAAAATCCACCCATTTTCATCTCAATAAGAACGCTCAGCACTATCCAAAATGATGTTTGTCTTTTGAAAAACTGATCATATTGATGGATATTCAGACATATCTAAATTTGGTACACATCGGCAGACTAGTAGATGAGATGAGGGGGCGTTAGAAGTGCGCCAAACTGTATAATACAACAACAAATATCTCGAAAGCTGTCCCTCTTGATATATAAATGGACGTGTTCCGTAAAATTTTCATATTGTCATCAGTTGAAGAAATTTTGATCGCTGCTCGTTTTCAAATTGACATCCTGTATATCATGATGATCTTCTTAAATAATCATAAGAGAAACAGAGAGAAAAAAGAAAAAAAAAACTTTATTAACTCTAACAAGGACCTAAAGAAAGGCATAGAAGATGTCATACAGTCATACAATCATTTCATTTGAAAAGTTACCCATCAATGTCTATGAGAGAACTGAAATAAATATTATTTTTACAGAAATATTCAATTGACTATGGATTCATTATTTTCAGGTATTGTACAAGTATTCTGGGGTTTGGACAAAAAACTTGCCCAACGTAAACATTTTCCCTCCATCAACTGGCTGATTTCATATTCTAAATATACTAGAGCTTTGGATGACTTCTATGACAAAAATTTCACTGAATTCGTTTCTCTCAGAACCAAGGTCAAGGAAATTCTCCAGGTATGTATTAGAATATATGACTGACTAGATGTCCTAAACTAACAAAGGTACACAATGGAAAATAGGTGTGAATCATTCATGTTTCTACTCTCGCATTACAACGGGAATTGAATGTCTACTAGCGACTTCTTAATATTGTTCATTTTAACAAGGATTTTCATTATGAAACAGATTTTGACTAATGAAAACCTGTACTTCTTATTATGAAACGAATTTTCGGCCTATGAAAATATATAATTGAGAATTATCAAGTGGGTATATGTTTCTATCTCACTTGCTTGAGTTATAGTGTCATTTAATTCCATTCTACACTCAACCACAATGCTTCAAAAATACAGGCAATTCAGGGACTGAAAATGTTATAACATTTTGTAATGTAAATAGTAGGAAATTGATTTTTGTTTATATTATTCATCTTGGAATATTATAATATTAATGAATATACAGACCAAATTGGTATAAAACTAATTCGACTAATTCAATTTATATTTCAAATATATAATGACATATAATAATAATTCAACATCAACCAACTTGATAATTATAGAATATAAGTTACTGGGCGAGTCATCATAGTATCTTGATTTCCAATACTCCTCATCAATGATGACCAGTTGATTCAACCATATTTCGTAATTTCCTGAGTCGAGTTGCTCCCATTGGCTTAGTCAATAAATCGGCTTCCATATTCTCAGTAGGACAATAAACATGATTCACAATAGCTTTATCTTGAAGATCCTTCAAGAAATAGAATTTAGTATGGATATGTTTAGTTCTGTTACTATAACGACCAGAATTGATCATTTTCAAACTACTCTGATTGTCCTCAAATATGCTCGTTATCTCTGATGTTACTTTAAAATCATCAAAAAGATTCCTCAGCCACACTGCTTCCTGAATGGCAACTGTAAAAGCGATGAATTCAGCCTCAGCAGTTGATAATGCCACTGATATCTGATTTCTTGCTGCTCAGCTAATAGTACCTCCATTCAGTATGAAAACAAATCCGCTACAAGATTTTCGGTCTAATCTGTCTTCGGCCCAATCTACATCAGGGAATCCAATTAATGCTTCTTCTCGTTTTCCTTGCCCAATTTTACTCAGCCGTAATTTGAAAGGATTTATTCCTTTTAAATACCTTCAGACTCTTTTCAGTTCATTACAATCTGTCTGATTTGGAGAAGATACTCTTTTGGCCAGAATCGAATCACGCTGCAATATCAGGACGAGTATTTACAGATATATAGAATAATTGCCCCACAAATGTTTGCTATTTCTGATTGTCCTCAAGAAGTTTTCCTGGTTCCAAATTAAAATATCAAGTATCCATTAGATCTTTCGACGGTTTTACTTGTTTACCAAATCATAAAATTCTCATTTTTATCTTCTTCAACTTCAATTCCGAGATAACAGTTCACATCACCAAGGCAGTTAATTTATAAATATTTTTTAGTTCTATAGCTAATATACTTATGTCTTCATCTATACTTGAAATTGACCAATCGTCAACATAGATCATGAATCACACTGTTCATGAAAACTGTACAAACAGAGATCAACTTCGCTTTGTTGATATCTATTAACAAATACTAAATCCAGCAAAATGCCCTCACAAGACGTGTTCAAAATGCATTCCATTATCATAATATATATATGAAAACTAGGAGTTCGGGTGGAACCGCGTCTAGAATCTATAGATGTTCAACATTTCGGCACCGATTTTGGTGCCAATTTTCAAGAAAAAATTCTAGTTCTTTCAGTGCCAGTGTTAAAAATGCCCCAGTTCAGTCTGTTACTCAGCGTCATCATCCTGTTTATCGGGTTATTGTTTGCATATATAGTTCTATGAGTTTCTGAATTGAATGTGCTGCTATAACGTAATCGTTTTTGAGGAACATGAAATTTTAGAGAGGCCAATAATTCAGGACAATCAATCTGATTATTACATAATTTTTGAATAGTGATGATGTCAGTGTTGCTTTTACGCTCTTCTAGGCTTTTTATGTTTAGGCGATTTGAAATATTGTCATAATCAAATTCCTCCATAGGAATACCGAGCTCGAAACCAATATAACGCAAAAAACGTCTCTGAATTCTTTCTATTTTCATGATATGAGCTTGTAGGCAGGACACCATACAGAGCTGCTATTTTCAAGTTGAGAGCGTACCAATGAAAAGTAAAGGGATTTCAACGCGACAATATTATGAAAGTCCTTAGTTGATCGTTTGATGAACCCTAGCATCTTCAAAGCTTTTTTACAGATTAATTCAATATGAGGAATACAGCTAAGTTTAGAGTCAAAAAGTATACCAAGATCTTTCATAATGTCTACCTTTTCAATGACTATATCATTTAATGAGTACTCATCATTGTTAATTATGCTGTGATTTCTGCTGAAACGAATATATTTACATTTTGGAATATTCAGAACTAGTTTTTTCTTGTGGCACCACACAGAGAACCTATCCAAGTCCTCTTGAAGATGAGTTGAGGAGGAGGGTCTCTCCAATTTGAGATATATTTTCATATTGTCAGCATATAATAATATTGAACTGAATTTAAAGCAAGAAGATACATCATTAACAAATAAATTGAACAGTAAGGGTGCTAAATGAGCACCTTGAAGAACTCCAGGAGTGATTAAAATTTCATCCGACAAGGAGGAATTAATCTTAACTCTTTGCCTGCGATTATCTAGATAGGATTTTAGCCATGCCAACAAACTGCTTCCAAGGTATTTGGACAACTAAAAAAAAAAGCAAATTATGATCTACCTTGTCAAATGCCTTGGAGAAATCTGTGTAAACTGCATCAACACTTAGTCACTTCTCCAAGGCATCGACAATGTAGGTCTCATAGAGTAAAAGATTTGTAGTAATAGATCTTTCTTGGCAGAAACCATGTTGTGTTGAGCTGATGATAGTTTTGAATTTAAATTTCAGAAAATCATTTACAATAGATTCAAATGCTTTGGGTATGAGCGATATCTTTGTGATTGGGCGATAATTTAATACAGAGTCTTTTCTTCCTGACTTCTTGAAAATTGGCACAACATGAGAGTTTTTCCAAAAATCTGGGAAAGTACCTGATTGAAGAGAATTATTGAAAATAATCCAGAGTGGACGGGACAACGAAAATGCACAAGATTTTATGAAGATTGCTTGTATAGTATCAGGGCCAGCCCCTTTAGAGCAATCAATGCTCTGAAGTTTTTCTAGAATGTCAGAAATATTTATAAATATTTTATTAATGCTGATGGAATCAAATTCACTGTCTGATCTAGGATCTATAGAGGTATTGTCACTGGAGTATACTGAAGAGAAATGTTTAGCAAAAAGATTTGCGATTGAATTGCCATCAGTTGCAACCTCCTCATCAAAGAATATCTTATTGGGAATACCATCCTCCTGATTTTTGGAGCGAATATAATCCCAGAATAATTTGGGATCAGAGATAATTCCGTTTTCAACTTTAGAAATATAGTTATTGCAGCATGATGATGATTGTTCTTTGCATATTGATCTTAAATGAGAAAACATGTTGTAATCCTCCATTGAGTTGGTGCGTTTATATTGTTTAAGACCTTTTTTTTCAGTATAGTATTATTTTTTAGTTGTTCATCAAACCATATAGGAAATCTAAATTTGCCTGTCAGTCTGATCACAGGTGTGAATCTGTCAATTCCTTGAAATAAAATATCATAAAAAAGTTTGACAGCATTATTAACATCAGTGGCAAGGATTTCATCCCAATTGATGTCAAGAAGGAATTGGTTCATAGCTCGGAAGTTGCAGTTTTTGAAATCATATGAGAACTCTTCAAAGTCCAGTGTTTCAATTGGTGTACGACATTTGATGTTTATACTTAAAGCAGGATGATGACGATCAAGTTTCAAAAGAACATCACTAGCAATATTGACTATAACATTAGGATTGTTTGAAAGAACTAGGTCTAGTATCACATTATTATTGTTGCTTATTGAATTCAGTTGATAAAAGATCAGATAGGAAAAAGTCTCAATAAAATACTCAGCTGCGGAACTGTGTCCATGAGCACTGATTCCAAGATGGTCATTATTCCATTGAATGTTGGGTAAATTGTAGTCTCCCACAATGCAAACAGTTGAACATTCAAAAATGTTTGCCATGAACTGTGGCTTCACAATGTAGTTGATAGACCAGTTTATTTGATTGAGGGGGAATATATACAGCTCGAAGTAATAAATTCTTATCCTGTAGTTTGACAGACACCCACAACTCTTCAAATTTCACCTCATCAGCTGAATGTTTGTAATCAACAGGATTAGATATGAGAGAATTTCGCACTGCAATCAGAACTCCTCCACCTCTGACTTTGGTGGTAGAAAGCAAATCACGATCTTGTCTATACAGGTTGTAGCCATTAAAGCTAAGTTCTGCACTATGAATATCTTGATTAAGTGAGGTTTCCGTTAGAACTATCAAGTCATACTCAAACGCAGACAGATTTTTTATAAGGTCAACTATTTTAGTACGAAGGCCATTTACATTCTGGTAGTACATGGACAGATTTCCATTATATCGTTGGCTGTGACAATTCAATGAAAATTTCTATTCACATTGTGATTTTCACGTACCTCAGTCGAGACTTCATTGCTATCTTGGTTTACCAGGATACTTGGTTCATTTTGACCAAGATTGGGGTCCCAGGATTGCTGGGCGGTGGCTGGATTCTAAAGTTGAATCTTCTGAATACTTTACCATAAGGCCAGAAGCTGGTAGAGTTTAATTGTTCATAATATTGGTGATCGACCCCCACCTTGAAAGAGCTGTAGGATCCAGTAGTGTGCAATTGTTCTATCTTTGGAGATTGTAGCTTTGGTTTTTATGTTTTATGTTTTTATAGTTGACGTACAAGTATTTCCACATATATCACGATGGAATAAATAGTTGATTTGTTTAAAATCAACATAATTTGTCAATAGAAAATTAGTTATTCGCCAATAACTCGAAGAAACATG